TTGTTAGCAGTCATTAACAAAAAAAGAAAAACACAAGAAAACAAAAGTCTTTACGGCCATTTGTCATGCCACGCCTTTCAAATGTGCAACGTGAACGTGCCATCGGCATGTTGCAGACGGGAACGTCCGTAGCTGAAGTCGCAAGGACGATGGGTTGTAGTCGACGGACTGTTTATGATTTACAGACGCGTCTACAGCAAACGGGTACCACCGCTGATCGCCCTCGGCCAGGTCGACCACGTGTGACGTCACACACTCTAAACCTATGTGTTCTAATTTAGAACAGTGGACGCGTCCACATGTTCTGCCACAGAATTCGAGTGTTCTATTACAGACTGCGCGTGTTCTATTGCTGAACGTCTATGATCTGTTGTAGAACGCGGGTGTTCTCTCCTGAGCAAAAGTCCACATTACAGGAGCATGCATGTGATTAATAATGAAAAATAAATTTCACGCGACAAAAGAAATGTGTTTCTTATGATATCTATTGTGAGATGAAGACAGTCTGATTGATTTGTAAAAAAGATATTGAAAATTGGTATCAGAAATGTGATATTTGGGTTTAAATAAATAACAAATAGTTTATAAATTGTTCTATCTTGTTTAAATAATAACTCATATGTAGCCTGACTAAATATGACAGGAAAAAATATTTAAATACATCTTATTGATGATACATGAAAATAACTTGCTTGCATTACGGGATATTTACATGTATCAGAACACTGGTATTCTATTGGCTAATGCTACCTGGATCGTTTTTGTGTGCTATGGAACATATGCGGTCTATTTGCCGAACACGTGTTCTCTCACAGAACGCGTGTTCTGATGTGTTCAATAATACGTATTTCCTTATATCACATGTGTTTAACATAATAAAGTCGGAAATAGATATATCAAATCAACATTCGCTCTTTCACCCATAAGAAGCACGATAACTGTGATTTAACTGCTATTTTCTGTAAGAGGCATTTACATAAAATACCGAAATGACCTACATTCCCTTGAAAATAGACATATTTTCACAAGAATGTCTTTATTTTATGCTCAAATAGCAATGCCTCACTCATGTTAAACCTCCGAAGCGCCGCTACAGTACAATTCGAAGAAAACATTTACATTTTCTCTTTGTCAAGGCGGTCCCATGCAGGGTGACGAAGGTGGCACGCGCTGGGAAGGAGCTCGAGCATTGTCTGAACGAAGGGTGGTAACTCTCACCACAAAAGTTATTATGATAGACGGTCACAGTAAAGTTGCAACTTACCGTTACGGTGTTCATCGTTAAACGTGATTTTCAAGATGATTAAACATATGACAATAACTGACGCACACCAAAGCGTAAACATGAGAAACAGAGACAATCCGTCCCATGCGTTTATAATTATAAAGAGCTATATATGTGAGAACATACGTGTTCTATTAATAGAATATACGTGTTCTATTAATAGAACACTGGTGTTCTATTTTTCTAACTAGCATTCAACACTGCCCATGCCTTGTGAATAACATCCGTTCTGCTTGAAAACTGGCGTGACGTCAACTTTTGGCGGGGTACAATATCTAACGGTATCTGTGGTAATAACAATCCATCTAGGGAACATTTAGTTTCATAGTTTATCCTTAACTTTCACTGGTTTATCTTTCGTTGATAAAATCACATGATGGTCACATAGAATGTAATAACAGCCAATTGAAAAAGCACAGCAGACGACATACACGTCGCCACTTTTAACGGCATGTCTGTCATTTTACATGTAAATTGTGAGATGAAATCGATCAAAGCCTTGCTACCATAAAAAGTTTGTATCTGCCCTTGTGGCTATTAGGACAAATTTCCCAAATCATGTTCATGGTCACAGGGCATGCAGGTTACATGGACGTCACTGTAGTAGCGGCACTATTCAGTGTTGTTCTTATTTCCTGTGGGCCTTTCATCTCTCGTGTGTCTTTTGATTTAAACGTCCATACAAAAAGCGAAATGAGTGACTCACATTTCTGCTGCAATCTCTGCGTGTATAGCACGAAAACATTTGAAGCTTTCAGACACCATTATGTCCGTTGCCACAAACATGACCCCAAATTCTATGTAGCCTGCTGTATTGGTGCGTGTTCATACACAACAAATAAGTGGGGGAATTTCAAAGTACATATGCACAGAAAACATAAAGAAACCATTACATCTGTAAATCATGTATCTGATGATGAGATACGAACTGAAAATTGTGACAGTCTGAGTGGAATTGAGGGTGATCAGCTTAGGGCTACAGTCAGTGTTGACCACGTGAATTTTAATTCCTATTTCACGTTGTCATTGGAGGCTAAACATAATTTGTCACAAGTAGGAATCGATAACATTGTGTCCTCCGTCAGTGATTTGGTGGAGAGTCATATTAATGGTTTTAAGAGGCAGATCAAATCGAAACTGACTGACATAGGGATTAACCCTGACTTTGTTGATGATATTGCAACTGAAACACATTTGAATGTCTTTGAAACGCATAAGAAACGCCACACATTTTACAGACAGAACTTGGAAACGTACTTACAGCCGGAAGAAATTGTGATTGGAACAACTTTTATAACCCAAAATGGTACGATTCAAGAAAAGCCTGCTCTTGGCTATATAATTCCCTTTGAAAAGAGTATTAACAACCTGTTGCAAATACCGGAGGTTTGGAATTATGTGCAGAACACACACCTGTCAAGAGATGAGTATTTGCATGATGTTTGTGATGGAGATGTTATGCTAAACCATCCCCTCTTCTGTAGCAACCCGAGTGCCCTTCAAATCGCTATCAACTGTGATGATTTTGAAATTGTTAACCCACTTGGCAGTCATATCAGGAAGCACAAAATAACTGTGTTTTACTTCACTTTGTTAAATATACCACCACAATATAGGTCTAAACTAGAGGCAGTACAACTCCTAGCTATATGTAAATCCAAAGATGTACGAAAGAGACAAGCTCAGGAAAAACTGTTATCAGACTTTGTTCATACCCTGAATCGAATGTCAAGTGATGGCATAAGCATGCGTCTTCATGGCCGAATTCATTCAGTAAAAGGAACTCTTGTTATGGTTAGTGCTGATACGCTCGCGTCAAACTGGATAGGAGGATTTAAAGAGGGAGTATCTTTTGCACTAAAAAATTGTAGGCGGTGTGAGATTGAAAATGCTCATGTTGGATCTATATTTGTTGAGAGAGAGGTTGTTATGAGAAGTGAACAGATTCATCGTCAAAGGTGTGAGGAACTAGAGAATTGTAGTGCCAGCACTAGGAAGTACTGGAGTAAGCTTTGGGGAATCTCTAACACCAGCTGTCTTCTCAAAATTACTGGGTTTAACAGTATTTCCGGTCTTGTTCAGGATCCAATGCACGTTTTGCTAGAAGGTGTTGTGCCATATGAATTGTCTTTGGTGTTACATCAGTTCATACATGTAAAGCACTACTTCGGATTGAAGTGGCTTAACACAGCCATTTCCTCTTTTCAGTATTCTTATATTCATGGCAAAACAAAACCAGAAATAATTGAGAAGCAGCATATAAATGACAAAAAGAGAATCAAACAAACAGCAGCAGGAATGCTCACACTGGTACATATTTTGCCGATTTTGATTGGATGCAAGATTCCCAGAAATGATGCATATTGGATGAATACTCTTCGTATTTTGCAAATTGTTCTGTTTTGCACTGCATCCTATTGTTCACGAGATACTGCGTTCTATCTGCGTACTCTCATTGCTCAGTACTTGCACAACTTTCAAACGTTGTATTCAGAAGCGTCAATAATACCAAAAATGCATTTCATGATACATTTTCCCTCACAGCTCCTGGCCTACGGTCCACTCCGTCACCACTGGTGTATGAGATATGAAGGCAAAAATGGTTTCTTTGCCAACAAGAGATATAAGAATTTCAAGAACCTGCCGTTGTCTCTGGCTAATAGGCACCAGATTCACATGGCCTATATGCAAAGTGGTTCTGAATGTGGGAGATCCCCCAATTTTCTTTACCAAGGTGATCAGTTGGGACCAGGATGTGTAATTGATTTCCGGGAAGTATATCCTGATCTTCTGGAGGTTTTAGAGAACATTCTAGTTTCCCATGTTCATATGGTATACTCTTGCCAATCAGCAACAATTCATGGTTTGGAATACAGGCGCGGATGTGGCTTCGTTTTGGAATATGTGGCAGATATGCCGATATTTTGCTTGCTGGAATCAGTTGTCGTTGTTGATCACAGAAAATTCTTCGTTTTTGAAAAGATGGTGTCTGAATATGATATGCATATAATGTCCTACATACTTTCGAAAGAAGGTACTAAAGACATTGTCCCTCATTCCACATTGAAATTCAAATGGCCTCTGAGTGTATATACATTCAATGGGAAGAGCGTTGTGATGAACGTGAATAGTCACACCTATGCCTATCCATTTTGATATCCCGTTTGAAATGTCTTGTTCCAGACTTCATGTATGAAATTGCTGGTTTATTCGTTATTGATCGTTTTATACAGGTCGTATTTGTTCATCAGTGCGTTCATACACTGAGTGCAGTTGGTCAATTTGTTTCTTACCAAGAATAAACTATTAATGATTTTACATGTTGAGTTTATGTTATTGTTTGATTGATCTGGCTCCTTAGCAAGTTACCGTTTCGTACATTAGAAATGTTTTGGGCCGGAAGGTGGAGATTAACATAGTGTTTTCAGTTCAGAGCTTGGTTACTGGTATATTTAACCACGCTAAATTGAATTTGGAACCGAATGCGCATTAAACGATTAACAAATAAATCACAAAATCTTTGGTGTTAGCAAAGATATTGCGTTAAGCGGCATGGGCTTAGTTCATTGTTTTGAATGGACTGTTGAATTCAGAAAACACAGACAATAGACTATAAATAATTACACTTCATGAGCTTGAACATCAATACCCTTCACTCCAAACATGGCAGACATAGAAAGTGTGTGGGCATTCGACATGATCATTTTCATTTGACCACTCTTCCCATGTATTGATAGAATTATAATTATTTTGTAATTTAGGTAAGACATCATGTCAGTTTATAAACTGTGGAATGTGACTCGGACACTTAAAGTGTCTGTAATTGCCTCTTCGATTGAAGACCTGTTAGACAAAGGTGAGTATTCAAACGTACTACTCAGTATAATAAATAATCAATGTACCATTATGATGACATTTATTCTCAAATATACCATTACCAGGCTCTTGTTTTTTCTATCCTGATATATTTAACTATTCAAATTAATGTATGAGTAATGTGGTCTCTCAGTTTGCATTGACACAATAAGTGGAAATAAGTGTTTGTGGTTGTGGTCTTAATGACAAATGGTGATGGTCAACTATTTATGTGTGTTTCAGGGTCTCGTAAACTGAATCTCAACAGCAGCGAAAAGGTGACAGTTGTTCTCGAGGAAGATGGAACTGAGATTGACGAATATGAAATTCTCCAGGCTTTCCAGGAAAAAGTTCTTCTCCTCCTCCTCCCTGAAGAAATATGGACCCCAGCTAGGGAGAGTTACTCAAGTTCTTCCTCTACTGACCAACCAACGATTGTTTCACCTGCAGTCAGTCCACGGGCAGATTCCTGTATAAACACTTTGTCAAACAGCTCAACCCCGATGCAACTTTCTACACCTTCATCAAGTGCTTCCTCTCTAAGTAAGTTGGTGATATTCATATAGACATATATTATTACAATCATACAGAATACCAATGTGATTATCCCTATCCAGAAATGTTATGTTTACTTTTCTCATGTTATATTTATTTTGCAGATGCATTTTCAGTGACCGAAGCACTATTGAGGTCTCCACTGCCAACATTCAGCCCAATGGTTGCCAGACATTTAGATGGTCAACACGCCATACCCGAGAGAGTTTGGAACCTCATGATTGCCGAGTGTGCCAACCACTACTATACTAAATGTCCCAATATGAATGAACATCAACATTATCGCATAATTGGCAGCACCATGTATGCAAACTATCCCAGCATTGGGCTTGATGGAGAAAATCCTTGGGTGAGTTTCAAAAAGCATTGGGACAGAATCGATATAAAAGTTTGTATGCTTGTTTGTATGCTTGTTACCTTCCCCAGGTTCTCGAGCCCTCAGCACATTTACAAAAAGACTCCAAAAACGTGAGGTAAATGAGTAGGTAATTATGGTTTTACGCCGGTTTTAGCAACATTACAGCATTATCACGGCTGGGGACACCGGAAATAGGCTTCACACATTGTACCCATGTGGAAAATCGAACCCGGGCCTTTAGTGTTATGAGTTAACCCTTTAACCACCAGGCTACCCCAACGCCCCAAAATCGCGAGGACTGCTGTCAATACAGGTATTCCTCGAATGTATTTCATTATATAATGGTTTGATGCAAATGAGACATCATCGATAAAACATGTAACACTCTTTATATACCGATATTCATTTCAGTCCGCTTTTACAAAAAGCCTCTCTCAGAAAATCCGTCACATGAGATTCAACCTCAAGGTAAAGAGCCAGTGTACAAATCCATCTGATCAAGCCCTTTCCCCACCAGCTAAGAGGAATTGTTTCAGAATCAATGAAGCTGTAACCGAAACGACCCAAATTTCAAATGAAGACACTGAACGTCATGTGTCAGAGCTGCAGAGGGAATGGGAAAAAACCCCGAAACAGCGCAATAAACTCCATATCAGGAAACTCCTAAAGGAGACCCGTCATGACAGAGTGGATATGCTGAGTAAGGCGACAAGTGGCACAATATCATCCTTGTATGACAAGTATCCATGCTTCAGAGATGGATCTTATGTAAGTGTTCGTTTCAGATTAAATGTGTTGAGAATAGTGGGTACATCAGACATAAATAAAAACATCTGTATATTCACACCCTTTCTCCTATCATACCGTACTTAGTGTTATTGTCAACTCATCAAAAATATATGTTTCTATGCTCATTGTAAATCCTTTAGTTCGAGGATGATTAGCAAGGATGTAACACCTGTCATGTATTACACATTACCTGGGTTCCAAATAAATAGCAAATGCAATGTTATATTTCAGGTGCTGTATGAATTCGGACTTATGTTCGGAAATGAAAGGGCAAAATTGGCTGCAACAAACCTAAAAAATCTTGTTTTGGCTTGCGAAGGCATGAGCAGCTTTGAACACATCTCTGGGGAGACTAGTGTAAGTATGAAATGAACATTTGTAGAACTAAACCTACACCTACCCAGAACATGTTTTAACCTACACCTACCCAGAACATGTTTTAACCTACACCTACCCAGAACATGGTTTAACCTACACCTATCCAGAACATGGTTTAACCTACACCTACCCAGAACATGTTTTAACCTACACCTACCCAGAACATGGTTTAACCTACACCTACCCAAAACATGGTTTAACCTACACCTACACAGAACATGGTTTAACCTACACCTACCCAGAACATGGTTTAACCTACACCTACCCAGAACATGGTTTAACCTACACCTACCCAGAACATGTTTTAACCTACACCTACCCAGAACATGGTTTAACCTACACCTACCCAGAACATGTTTTAACCTACACCTACCCAGAACATGTTTTAGGCATTCTTCATGTGGCATATTATAGAGAAACAGATGTTTTCTTGTTTCTGTTATAGGATGCATTGAAGATGATCAATGTCATCAACTTCATAGAACGCAGCACACGGAGGCATCAAGGGGGGATAGGAAAACGAAACATGGGGTCAATTGTACAAATAAAGAAGGTACATATTCACTTTATTCTTGACCTTTGGGTAAGTTTCTAGGTGATAATTTTGGAAGTCTAATGACTTTTTAAACAAAACATTTTGTTCGAGTGTAACAGCCTGTAAATATTGAAACATTTGGGATTGTCATGGTAATCTTTTGTTTGCTTACCTACACTGTTTGTTAAAGTGAGTGAGAGGGTTTGGTTAAATGCTGCCTTAAACGGTATTTCAGTTTTTCACAGCATGTCAACTTGATGTTGGAGGAAAGCCCGAAGTGATGCAGGGCTAAGACGTTTACCACCTTGTTGAAACCGACTAGCAAGGATATGATGCTGAAAACTTAGAAATATAACCACGGCAAACGCAGATTCAAACCCACGAGCATAGGTTTCTGGCACGCCTAAGGGACACAACGTTGCACGATGAAATTCATTGTTTTAGATGACTAGGCCAACTGTGTCCACACCTGAAACTTTGTTAGAGAAATGGCTTAGGTAGTATGAACAAGTTTGAAAAAAAATCATGAGAAATTGGTTTGTGTTCTAGGACGTTGCACAGTCTGACATCATGCCTGCCCTGAAGACGAAAGTGTTGGAATCCCCCCGAATAGTTATATTCATGGATGGTGACAAAGTCCAAGGAATATTTTTGGTTGGAGATACGGTATACACAGAGGTGAAGAAGGAGGGCGGTGTGCTGGCGGCAGTTATCAAATTGATCGCCATGTACTACATCTTTGACATGGAATTCCCAAAGGCATATGCGATGGTAATGGCCGTGTTCCAAACCATCGTACTCCAGGAGGTTTACAAACGCGAAACATCGGCCAAATACAAGCACTTTATGAAAGACCTGAAATTTCAGCTAGCTGAAGTTGCTCACCGCGAGGGCCAGGAAGAAAGTGAGAAGTAAGCATTTCAGGCGAAGTATGGATTCCATGCTTTACATCAGTGATTGCTGCAGACGTTCTGTTCATGAAGAACTCGTGTGCTATTGACATATGAATTTGAAACTCAATAAATAATTCATTTTAACAGTTCAGAATTTCGTCTGTGTTTTATTTATCAGAGAGTTTGAGGTGTATCTATGGTTTTAATCTTTATTCCTTGTAGAACAGTAGTGTTCTGAATACCGACCTAGAACACTTTACAAGTGTTCTAAAAGTGTTACATCACCAGAACACGTGGAGCCGTTCTAAATATGCTTGCAGAACAGTAGTGTTCTCGATCGAGAACATTAGTGTTAAGAATATTTTCAGAACACATGGACGCGTTCTAAAAGTGTTACATCCAAGTGTTCTGTCTAGTGTTCAGAAGTAGAACACTTGGGTTTAGAGTGCATGCAGAGGATCGTCAGATTTTCTTACGTCACCTCCGTAACCGATTTTTGACGGCTACATCAACCAGAAATTAGCTGTTTGGGGGTAGACTGAGTGGGCAAACTGTTCGAAACCGTCTGAGAACTGCTCACCTTTAAGCACGACGGCCATACTGCTGGCCGATTCTGACTCAATTACACAGACGTCAAAGTCAATTGTGGGCACAGCGACACTTACGATGGACTGAGAGGAATTGGAATTAAGTCGTCTTCAGTGATGAATACCGATTTAATCTTCGATTTGCTTATGGTAGGGCGAGGGTGTGGAGGCGCCGTCATGAACGTTACGCCCAGTGTTGTGTACAGGAAGTTGACAGATTTCGAGGCGGAAGTGTCATGGTGTGGGGTGCTTTCTGTGGCAATGCACGTTCCAGGCTTCTTGTCATCCGTGGCAACCTCGACGCTGCTGCTTACCGCGACCAGGTACTGGCACCAGAACTTCTGCCTTTTATGGCAGCACATGGACCCGGTTTGATCTTCCAACACGACAATGCCAGACCCCACACAGCTATTTTGACAAGGAATTTCCCTCAGAATGCGGGAATCAACGTCATGGACTGGCCGTCAAGGTCTCCCGACCTCAATCCCATCGAACACGTCTGGGATGCTCTTGGCAGAAGTCTGCGCACTCTCCAGAACCAACCACAGAATTTGCAAGATCTTGGCACCATTTTGCAGCAACAATGGCGTCGTCTTCCCAATCATGTGTTCACAAGCATCACAAGGTCCATGCGGAGGCGTTGTCAACGCTCATGGTGGCCATACACGCTACTGAACTTGTGTGCCCATCAGATTCTCGTGCTTGGGACTTATGATTTAAACTGTTGATGTTAATACCGTAGGTGCTTGGAACAAATTATGGTTACCACCGTTAATTAAAATCCTTTTGGGGACATTAATGATTAAAAATTACCTTCTCCGATACATTTGTCCGTTGTATATCATATATGGGATTACTTTTTAAAATGTGAAGTTTTTAATTTGACTCAGTATACTTACACTAACCAAATTTATCAATGTACATTTATCATGCAATGAGACACAGGAAATATTATTAATATATTATGTTATAGACTCTACTGCTCTGAATGTACTAATTATAAATGTACTTTAGGCCTGTGGCCTCCTCACTACGGAGATCTTGTCGTTGAAAGTAAAACATGATGTGAGTGAGTGAGTTTGGTTTTTACGCCGCTTTTAGCAATATTCCAGCAATTTCACGGCGGGGGACACCAGAAATGGGCTTCACACATTGTACCCATGTCGGGATTCGAACCCGGGTCTTCGGCGTGACGAGCGAACGCTTTAACCACTAGGCTACCCGACCGCCCCTAAAACATGATGTGTCAAAGCAGCTGGAGGCTAGGTTGACATGACACTTGGACAGCAGCGAGGCAGGTTGGCTCTCTGACGCCTCCGAGATGCTTACTGGTTTTGGTTTGGTGTTTAATGCCGCACTCATTATATTCAAGCTATATGACGACGATCTGTAAATAATCGAGTTTGGACAAGACAATCCAGTGATTGACATCATGAGCATCGATCCACACAATTGGGATCGATGACATGCTTCAACCAAGTCAGCGAGCCTGACCACCCGATCCCGTTAGTCGCCTCTTACGACAAGCATAGTCGCCTTTTAGGGTAAGAATGGATTGCTGAAGACCTGTTCACGGGCAAGATGCTAACTGGAGACCAGGATCATGGTTCAGATGTTGAATAAATCATAGAATAAACGTTGTATCAAATGCACAAGTATCCGGTAGAGCACCAACGTCTACCAAGGATGCATGTTTTAGACGCCTCTGCACACTCTAAACCTATGTGTTCTAATTTAGAACAGTGGACGCGTCCACATGTTCTGCCACAGAATTCGAGTGTTCTATTACAGACTGCGCGTGTTCTATTGCTGAACGTCTATGATCTGTTGTAGAACGCGGGTGTTCTCTCCTGAGCAAAAGTCCACATTACAGGAGCATGCATGTGATTAATAATGAAAAATAAATTTCACGCGACAAAAGAAATGTGTTTCTTATGATATCTATTGTGAGATGAAGACAGTCTGATTGATTTGTAAAAAAGATATTGAAAATTGGTATCAGAAATGTGATATTTGGGTTTAAATAAATAACAAATAGTTTATAAATTGTTCTATCTTGTTTAAATAATAACTCATATGTAGCCTGACTAAATATGACAGGAAAAAATATTTAAATACATCTTATTGATGATACATGAAAATAACTTGCTTGCATTACGGGATATTTACATGTATCAGAACACTGGTATTCTATTGGCTAATGCTACCTGGATCGTTTTTGTGTGCTATGGAACATATGCGGTCTATTTGCCGAACACGTGTTCTCTCACAGAACGCGTGTTCTGATGTGTTCAATAATACGTATTTCCTTATATCACATGTGTTTAACATAATAAAGTCGGAAATAGATATATCAAATCAACATTCGCTCTTTCACCCATAAGAAGCACGATAACTGTGATTTAACTGCTATTTTCTGTAAGAGGCATTTACATAAAATACCGAAATGACCTACATTCCCTTGAAAATAGACATATTTTCACAAGAATGTCTTTATTTTATGCTCAAATAGCAATGCCTCACTCATGTTAAACCTCCGAAGCGCCGCTACAGTACAATTCGAAGAAAACATTTACATTTTCTCTTTGTCAAGGCGGTCCCATGCAGGGTGACGAAGGTGGCACGCGCTGGGAAGGAGCTCGAGCATTGTCTGAACGAAGGGTGGTAACTCTCACCACAAAAGTTATTATGATAGACGGTCACAGTAAAGTTGCAACTTACCGTTACGGTGTTCATCGTTAAACGTGATTTTCAAGATGATTAAACATATGACAATAACTGACGCACACCAAAGCGTAAACATGAGAAACAGAGACAATCCGTCCCATGCGTTTATAATTATAAAGAGCTATATATGTGAGAACATACGTGTTCTATTAATAGAATATACGTGTTCTATTAATAGAACACTGGTGTTCTATTTTTCTAACTAGCATTCAACACTGCCCATGCCTTGTGAATAACATCCGTTCTGCTTGAAAACTGGCGTGACGTCAACTTTTGGCGGGGTACAATATCTAACGGTATCTGTGGTAATAACAATCCATCTAGGGAACATTTAGTTTCATAGTTTATCCTTAACTTTCACTGGTTTATCTTTCGTTGATAAAATCACATGATGGTCACATAGAATGTAATAACAGCCAATTGAAAAAGCACAGCAGACGACATACACGTCGCCACTTTTAACGGCATGTCTGTCATTTTACATGTAAATTGTGAGATGAAATCGATCAAAGCCTTGCTACCATAAAAAGTTTGTATCTGCCCTTGTGGCTATTAGGACAAATTTCCCAAATCATGTTCATGGTCACAGGGCATGCAGGTTACATGGACGTCACTGTAGTAGCGGCACTATTCAGTGTTGTTCTTATTTCCTGTGGGCCTTTCATCTCTCGTGTGTCTTTTGATTTAAACGTCCATACAAAAAGCGAAATGAGTGACTCACATTTCTGCTGCAATCTCTGCGTGTATAGCACGAAAACATTTGAAGCTTTCAGACACCATTATGTCCGTTGCCACAAACATGACCCCAAATTCTATGTAGCCTGCTGTATTGGTGCGTGTTCATACACAACAAATAAGTGGGGGAATTTCAAAGTACATATGCACAGAAAACATAAAGAAACCATTACATCTGTAAATCATGTATCTGATGATGAGATACGAACTGAAAATTGTGACAGTCTGAGTGGAATTGAGGGTGATCAGCTTAGGGCTACAGTCAGTGTTGACCACGTGAATTTTAATTCCTATTTCACGTTGTCATTGGAGGCTAAACATAATTTGTCACAAGTAGGAATCGATAACATTGTGTCCTCCGTCAGTGATTTGGTGGAGAGTCATATTAATGGTTTTAAGAGGCAGATCAAATCGAAACTGACTGACATAGGGATTAACCCTGACTTTGTTGATGATATTGCAACTGAAACACATTTGAATGTCTTTGAAACGCATAAGAAACGCCACACATTTTACAGACAGAACTTGGAAACGTACTTACAGCCGGAAGAAATTGTGATTGGAACAACTTTTATAACCCAAAATGGTACGATTCAAGAAAAGCCTGCTCTTGGCTATATAATTCCCTTTGAAAAGAGTATTAACAACCTGTTGCAAATACCGGAGGTTTGGAATTATGTGCAGAACACACACCTGTCAAGAGATGAGTATTTGCATGATGTTTGTGATGGAGATGTTATGCTAAACCATCCCCTCTTCTGTAGCAACCCGAGTGCCCTTCAAATCGCTATCAACTGTGATGATTTTGAAATTGTTAACCCACTTGGCAGTCATATCAGGAAGCACAAAATAACTGTGTTTTACTTCACTTTGTTAAATATACCACCACAATATAGGTCTAAACTAGAGGCAGTACAACTCCTAGCTATATGTAAATCCAAAGATGTACGAAAGAGACAAGCTCAGGAAAAACTGTTATCAGACTTTGTTCATACCCTGAATCGAATGTCAAGTGATGGCATAAGCATGCGTCTTCATGGCCGAATTCATTCAGTAAAAGGAACTCTTGTTATGGTTAGTGCTGATACGCTCGCGTCAAACT